TTCAAAAATGAAAGTTGAGGGACTGAATCGGGGATTTAACCTAGAAATAATTGGCGACTCACAATTAATTTTAAAGCAACTAGAAAGGGAGTACAAGTGCACTAGTTTGTCTTTGGCAACTTATTTTGCTTTGGCAGTATAGCTCTTGGAGGAATTTGATGATGTAATCTTGAGGCATGTTACTCAAGATCTGAACACAGAAGCAAATGAGATGGTCGAAATCGCCTCAGGCTTAAAAATCCTAGAAGGCGTGATGAGCAGAATTGTTGTTGTGGAAAAACGAATTCTGCCATCTATTCACATGCGTGGTATGGCAATTTCTGCTTGTTCCATAGACGTAACCCAGATAGATTGGCGCTATCCGATCATGGAATACCTAAAAAATCCAAAATTTAAGGCCTCAAGAATAACAAAAATGCAGGCCTTGAATTGTGTTTTGTTGGAAGATGTTCTTTATAGAAGAGGACATGATGAATTACTTCTGCGTTGTCTTGGTCCAGATGAGTACTGCCAGATTATGTCAGATGTGCATAACAGAATCTATGGTGCGCACCAAGCTGGAATTAAAATGAGATGGCTAATTCGCAGACATGGATTCTTTTGGCCATTGATCTTGAAAGATTGCATCAGCTATGCTAAAGATTGCAAAGCCTGCCAGATTCATGGACCACTACAGAAAGTTCCAGCATCAGAACTCCATCCAATCATCAAATCATGGCCATTTCGAGGATGGGCCATAGATTTGATCGGTAAAGTTTATCCTCCTTCAACTAGATGGCATTCTTTTATTATTGTTGCCACAGATTATTTTACCAAGTGGGTGAAAGCAAAGCCAATGAAGAAGGTTGACCAGACCGATATTATTAAATTTCTTAAGGAAGAAATCATTCACAAATTTGGTTTGCCAAAAATAGTGACTTTAGATCAGGGGACAGTTTTTGTTGGTGCACAAGTTGAGGCGTTTGCAAAAGAAATGGGATTTAGGTTACTCACTTCAACCCCTCATTATGCTCAAGCCAATGGTCAAGCTGAAGCTTCCAACAGAATTGTGATAAATCTGCTTGAAAAAATGGTTGATGATAATCCAAGGCGTTGGCATGAGTTGTTATCTAACACAATCTGGGCTTACAGAACTTCACAAAGGAGTTCTACCAAGGTAACTCCTTTCTCTTTAACTTATGGACATGATGTTGTTCTGCCCATGGAGTTGTCTACTAGATCATTGCGTATAGCAATTCAACATGGTCTCACTTTTGGAAAATATAATGAAGCAATGATTCTAGAGTTAGAAGACCTTGAAGGTATGCGATTGACGGCCTTAGATAGGCTGCAAACGTAGAAATTAAAAGTGGCTCGTGCATAAAACAAACGAGTGAAATCCAGAAGTCTGGCAAAAGGAGATCTGGTATGGAAAGTAATTCTACCACCTGGAAAGAAAGACCCCAGATTTGGGAAATGGTCTCCAAATTGGGAAGGACCATTTCGTATACATGAAGTGCTTAAAGGAGGAGCATATTGGCTTGAATCATTAAATGGAGAGTTACATCCTCGAAGGATAAATGGAATCTACCTTAAGCCTTACTATCCTATGATATGGGAGGCTAGGGGTTCGGATATCATTGGTTCTACTTGAGACAGATTTGAGGTAGGATTTGTACAATATTTTATTTTATTGTTTAGCATTTTATCATTCAATAAAAGTGCTGAGCCGAATCTGCAAGTAGGCCAAATCTGGCTGTGAACAACCACAGTGGCCAGATTTCAGCCATGTCAGATTTCAACCTATAACAGAGTATGAACAAAAAGTACAAGAAGCAAATTTCCAGAATATGAGCAAAGAAAGAGATCAACATTGGAAAAAAATTTTGCATGGCCAATAGGCCACAAACAATAAGTTCAAGGATCACAATATGCAAGTTCAACTAGCAAAAAGCAAAAGAGATACATGAAAGAAAAATCAACAAAGGTTGTTTTGCCAAGTACTCCATTCTTCTTTCATGTTCTTGATTTCTTCAGCGGCTTCATCTGCAGAAGCTGTGAAAGAAGGCAGCTAATCCTTGATCTTGGCAGCAAATTTCAAACCAGCTTCCATGTCTGCGTGGAGCTTGTTTCTTTGTCCTGCCAAACTCTTCTCAGTTTGCTCCGCAAGAGGAACCTAGTTTCTTAACTCTGAAAGCCTAGCTTCAAGGTTAGAAATTTCTTCTTTAAGCTCTTGGAGATGTTTAACTTATGTGACATGAGCAACCTTTGCTGCCAAGAATTCTTCCTTCTTCTTAAAGACAACGGCA